CTCCCATGGGATCAAATGGGTTATTTAGTTAAACCTTATACATTGATTACAAAATATGCTGGAGACTCTGCTTTCCATCAAATTCTTAAGTCATGCCAGTCAGCTCTTTCCAGAAGCCTTACGAATAAACCAAATAAATCGAGGTAACTGTTTCCTAGAATCATTATGTCAGGATTACTCAGCCTGAGCTCTGTTGACACTTTAGACCAGCGGTTCTCACCCTGTGGGTCGCGACCCCTGTGGGGGTGGAACGACCCTTTCACAGGGGTCGCTTAAGACCATCGGAAAACACATATATAATTACATATTGTTTTTGTGATTAATCACTATGCTTTCATTATGTTCAATTTGTAACAATGAAAATGCATCCTGCATATCAGATATTTACATTACAATTCATAACAGTAGCAAAATTACAGTTATGAAGTAGCAACTAAAATAATTTTATGGTTGGGGGTCACCACAACATGAGGAACTGTATTAAAGGAAGGTTGAGAACCACTGCTTTAGACAATACTTTGTTGGGGGCGGGGGGAAGGGGTTGCTGTTCTATACACTATAGGATGTTTCACAGCATGCCTGGTCTCCAGATGCCAAGAGCACACACCTCCTCTAGTTGTGATGAATAAAAATGTCCCCAGACTGTCAAATGTCCCTCTGCAGGTCAAAGTCATTCCCAGCTGAAAACCGCTGATTTACATGAAACTCATTCTGGTAAGGTCTACATAATCATCAAAAAAGAACACTACTAAGAGCCAATCGTTTGGACATGTCAGCTCTGCAAAGCCTTTTCCTAACAATTCTAAGGAAAATAGTTTGGAAAAGGCTTGTCAGATTCCCTTGACTTTGTATCTTGCTTCTGGTTGCATTATCTTTGCTTGCAATTTTAATTGGAGAAATTCAGATTAAACTGTGAGCATTAAGGATGATATTGCCTTACATTAAATAAGCATAGTTCTGTTTATCCACAAATTACAATGAATGAATGTGAGAAGAGTGTCCCATGATATATTTCATCATTTCAAAGGCTATTTTTGATAAAAAGTGCAAAGTTCCTTATAAAGGATAGCTTTATATAGTAATAGTTCCTTATAAAGAATAGCTTTATATAGTAATTTATAAGTTGGTTTTTCAAAATCTCATTTTTATTTTTTAAAAAGTAACATAACAGTATATTATTTTCTTTTCTTTTGGATCTTTAAAAAATTCTAATACATTACTGTATATCAGGACAAGTTAATTTTTAAAAAATACTTTTCAATTATTCCTCTGTAAACGTATTGTAAATGTAAATAGTCTGGATTATTATTGAAATGCTCACTAGTGCCATTATGATTATGAGCCTTTAATTTTTCTCAGAACATTTATGCTCAAAGGTTTAAAGTTAGCGGCCTATTACCAGAGTTATTGTGAAAGCTAATCATTAGGGAATTATTCTTAGGTCTGTTGTCTTTACAAGACCAACAGAATCACTTCTACATAAAGCACATTTTTTTTGCAACTATGTCTTTCCATTAAATTTTGTGAATAGTTTGACTAAAATAAGAGAAGATATTTGAGAAAGCAATTATGTACCAACCCACAGAGCTGTTGACAAGCCGTAATTACTATTTCTATACTCTTCACTGTGGGTTGGGCACTTTACTTAAATTTGTGCAATTAATTCATCATAGTCACTCAATAAGGCTAATAGTGTTACAACCTGTTCCCCATTTTAAAAACGAGTAAACGGAGGCAGAGCAATGCTAAGTTAGCCTGCCCAAGGTCACATAGCTGGTAAGCCACCAAGCTGGGGTTCAAACTTGGGCAAACTTGTGCAAGGGTTTGCACTGCAAACATACCACAACTCACTGGAAACCACAATGAAACAATTTCATGATGTTGAACCGTACCATAGATTAAGGTTATCTAATGCAATGGCAAAAGGGTAAGTTTGAGTTCCAAAAAATAAGTTGTATATATTTTTATCCTTTCCATTCTCTTATGTGATAATGAAAAGAAGAAGAAGAAAAAAACTCTGTTGAACAACATAAAAGAACACACATTGCCTTGATAATTGTTATGAGGATTAAATAACATATCTAGTGCTTGGCATGGTGCCTGATGTGCTCATTAATTGTAGTTATTAGAGCAGGGATGAGCCTGCACCGAGACTTTTGCTTAGTTCCCATTCTGACAGAAGGTGCATATTACTCAAACAAGATTAGAACTGGTAAAACTCTAGATTGTTTTCTGTAAATTTAAAAGAAATGAAAGCACAACAGTGGCATAACATATTTTAGAACTATGTTTCAACCAATTGAGATAAAGTAATATGGAGGTGGGCAAAGGGAGAGGGGGTGGGGGACACCTATAATAGTGTCAACAATTAAAAAATTAGGAATTATTTTTTTAAAAGAAGATATTGTCTCATTTACATATAGTTGAAATTTTAAAATCAGAATTGAAGCTTTTCTCTTTGGTTGTACAAGCACATCATCAACTAAAAAATATTCTTTTAGACGCTGCTGTCTTATGTTCTAAGCTCCACTCATTATGGAAAATGATGACTAAATGTTGCCTCAGGATGAGGGTTAATTTTTCTCTAAATATTAAAAATAACACATGTTTCTAAATTGTAGAGTGTTCCTGCTTTGTAGTAATACACCTTCAGTATATCCAAACAAACTGACTAGCTTAAGCATATCATCATATATCAATTCATAAAACAGAAGTTAGTTTATATTCTATCTACTAAAGTAACATGAAAAATACAAGGAGGAATAGTTAGATGTGTCTCTTCACCCAATAAGGATGAAAATCCTGAGAGAAAATTGTGTACAAACAAGTACAATATGTTTTATGATTAACTTTATCTTATATTTTCTACCTGCAATTTCATCTACCCTTATTGGCCTTTAATTTAGTTTTTCTATCTAAAATGTTCTGACAATTCTGTAACAGACAATATGATAACACCCCCATAAAATCTTCAATGTGTTTTGAAGAAAAGATTAAAAATTAGAATTAACATCTTTTAGCCATGAAAGTGTATCTGAGACAAATTATTGAACTGAAGCATAACAATGTCAATAATCAGAGTAAAAACTAAAAATTGTATATAGTTACTTGGTATTTTCAAAGTCTGTATATTTTGTGCTGGACGTAGTACCTATGAATGAATTTTTCCGTTTTCAGCTTGATGTTTGTCATTATGCCAACAATGTGTACTGTGAAGTGATGGTAAAGGGCTGTGTCTACCTGTGGAAATAAAGAACTGGGGAAGTACTTGGATTACTCAAATACCACTACGCCCAGTCTTCAAATAATCTCAATATTCCCGTTTAATAAATCAACATTGAAGAGTTTGATTTGTCTTTGAACATAACCCACAGCCAAAATATTGCCACATGATAGCAGAGATATAGGAGGTGCAATAAAATATTTAGATTAAATATGTTGTCAAGCAGAGTGTAAATGACTAGGGAAAGCTTTTTTCTCTTAAAAGAAGCGATTATGTAGAAAGTGTTCTATCAACATTCTCCTAAGAAACCTTGGAGGATCTGTCCGGAGTGCTGAAAAGGTTTAGGCTGGTGAAGGCTGGAGACTGTGGCATGTGCATTAACCTGATGAGTTCAGGGAACAGAGTTTTCAGATCCCCAACCAAAGAGCCCTTTAAACAGAAATCACATCCATATAGGACAGAAATGGTCACAACTGATTCTTAAATGTGTAACTACAAAGATATAAAGGAGAAATTAAAGAAGAAAATTTCCTGTGCGTCATGAGGGAAATAAGGCATACAAAGCACACTTAACAAGAGGCAGCATGCCCAAACACTCCCGATACTCAAAAGAATGTCTAGAATGTTGTATAACTAAGAGGATTCCACAGAAAACTGCAGCTTCTTCCCACTGGGTGTAGGGGATGCACATAGTACAAGGCAACGCTTGCTTGGCTGCCTCACATGGCCAGTGGCCAGCATTAAGGATACAGATTAGCTCTAGCTCAGTCTCTAGGGACTCTGAACAATAGAGCAACATGTAGGGAATGAAGAAGAGGGTGGAAGGGAGACTCTGCCTTCCCACTGGCCTGTGCCAATTGCTTAGTGGGAAGTAAAGTGTTGGAGAATCTGTCTGCCTGGCTACTCAAGTTTATAGTTCAGCTGAGGCATAACCAACATTGTGCCGAAATAAGCACAAAGGCCTGTTAACTTCTCAATTTCCCATCACCACAGCACCTGCTCTGGAGGGAAATGGGGGCTGTAGGAATTCCAGCACCAGTTCTAAGGGCCCTCTAGGCTGACTGCATGACCCTTTGTGAGGTCCCAAGTACAGTGGTAGGCTCTGGGCAAGGGCTAGCTGCGGGCCTGCCCCAGGTTGGGGTCATTCCCCAAGTCACTGTAGCCTGGGTGCCCTGCTCGCCATGCCGCTCAAACTGCCACACTGGGGTAACTAGCAGGCTTTGTGTCCGAAGGGAAAGGTACATCCATGGGGGAGGGAAAAGCGGGAGGACTCAGACTGAGGTTTAGAAAGAGGCTCGCTAGCCTGTTGGAAAAAGCCGTGCTTTCAGCACCACCCGCTGTCCCCACTCTTCTGCAGCAGGCGCCAGGGTCGCAGCAGCTAACCGAGCTCTCGGGAAGCTACTCTCCTTCCTTCCCCTCTCTACCTGGGCTTCTCTCCATTCCGAGGGATCCCTTGGGTGGTTTGGGGCAGCTCAGCCTGCATTCTAAACATGCGCGCCTGGCTTAGGGAGCGGGAACTCGGATCTGAAGGCATGCAGGATCCCTTTCCCAACCTTTGCAGTACTTCCCTCCTTTACCCTATCGCTTTCACCTTTTCTCCCAACAGGTTTAACTAAGGCAGCTGCAAATGGAGCAGACTTCAATCTCCAGTTCTGACCACCCCTCCTCCTCCCTCCCCCCTCCTCCCTCCCCCAGTTTGAGTTACCCAGCAAACTGACAGCTGCTACATCCTTCCCGCCCCAGGGACTCTTGGGCATGGGGACACTAGCAAGCTTACCCCCCAGTTGGCCACGCCGCGGGCAGTGAGGTGCGGTCTAGCTAGCCCCCATAAAGTTGGGCCTTGCGGATCACAGGGGCAGAGCCGGCTTCTCCAGTTTCATGTTCCCCCCAAGTAGATCTTAAGCTCATCTCCTGAGCTCAGTGAGCGCCGAACAGCAGAGCTGAGGGCGTTGTGTGCAGCAATGTCCCTGCTACTGAGAAAGGGGGAAGGGGGAAGGGGAGAGCGCGGAGGAGGGGGGGTGGTAGTTTGTATTTATAGAGAACAGAGTTCTCAGCACAACTTTTTGGTGCCACCAAGTGGCACAGTGAGTTCCTTTAGGAACACAGACTTGGGGTTGAGTCTGGATAAGGTAAGCCAGCTCCACTGCCAGATGCTCACATGGGGGACTTGAGGTTTCCCATGTGCACCTTCATATCTCAGCACCTGGGATGCAGATCCCTAGGTTCTAAGCCTGCACCTGTGGAAGGGGTGCCTGTGCCCTTTTCAGACAAGTGCCAGAGGCGTCAGGGACACTGGGAAGATGCCAGTCCCCGCCGAGGTGTCTAGCCACCCTTCTCTCAGAAAGGATATCTGTTCCCTTCTCCCTCCTGAACCCTCTGCCCAGATTACAGTCTCCTTGGATCTATTTCTAAAACCTTCTTCCTCCACCCTTAGTGTCCAGCCTTTAAAGTAGGGTGCCATTGATTTTCCTTGTGTTCAAATAGATTCCAAATTCTTTCCCAAGCCCTCACATTTAAAGAACTTCACAGCTTGCTACCAAACCTCCTTCTTGAATTGCTACCTTGAAAAAAAAAAAAAAAAGCATGTGATTTTAGCTCTGTGGATCGGAACCCCTCCAAACAGCACTCAGAACTCCAGGTTCCCTTGGCTACTGCTAGGTGTCCAATTGTCCTGCTCCCCCATTTCTACAGACCTCCCAGCATGCATGACACCAACCGCACAACCAGGAGTTTGCAAATGCCTTTGACACTTGGAGGGGAAATTCCCTGAAACTTCCATGATCTGGATTTTCTGGGTGCTCTTCCTTTCTTGTATACAGATCCTCAACGCCATACAGTCACGGTTACTGCCTGGGACCTTAGTGTTCCAAAACACCGAACAACATCTACACTTTGCAGATGGAGTAACTGAATACACAAAGGTTAAGGAACGTGTTCAAGGTCACACATTTCCCTTGAGACCAGCCCAGGGACCACCCAGGGGGCAACTGAATGAATACAATGATACCAAACCTGACTCCAGGCTCCTGCTCCTCTTCCTCCCAACACAGCCCCTTCAGGCATATTCACTCCCTTCTCTTCCCTCTCTCTTACTCCCCACATCCCTCTCTCGGACCCCATCCTTTGCCAAAGTTCCATAAGGAATCTAGAGTAAGGATGTCTCCCTAGCCCCACTTGGAGTACATGAACTTGAGCTCAAAGGGCCAGAGTTGCATGTAAACCCCCTTAAAATGGCCCCCTGCTCTAGAAAACCTCTTCCTCCCGGTAATGTAGTCATGGAAGTGTCATTTTATAAAGGGAACACTGGCATTCATCCCCAACAACGTCCCCTGCTTGCTGCCTCTTTTCCGGGGAAAGCAACAGCAAATGCTTCTACAATAGCCCCCCCCCCCAACACCCAATAGCCTCAAAGACAGCGCAGCCCCCCTCCCTTGATAAATGCACCCCTTTGTGCACATGCATCGGTATGAGAGTGAAAGAGAGAGCGGTGTCCAGACGCCTCCTTTGGTCGCGATCTCTATTTTCTTTTTCTCCTCTGATATTTTTCAGTTCGTTTTCTATGGAAACGAGCCCACTTGAATCCCTCACTCGTGCAAAGAAGAGCAAAATGAGCTTCATCCACCCTCTCATTGGAGCGACACGGCGGTAGCTGGGGCTCCCGACTCGAAAGGCAGGTCTGATCCCCACCGCACACGTCCTTGCGGGGTGACTTTTCTAAACTTGCAGGACCTCCCAGAGTCCCTGGCTCCACCGGTTCTCCACCTGCCCACCACCTGCCCGGCTGGGTCCCCGGCC